ACTCCACAAGTTTACAAGGTATTACTAGTCAGAGTGAAGTTATAAAACCTTTTAGGATTTGCGAGGAGGAACCAAAATTGTCTACTTCTGTTATTAAAGAGTTTGAAAATGATGAAGTTGACGGTAAAGTGAATATTCGTGATAATGATCATGATACTTCACAGTTGTCTTTGGTTGATCATTATGAGATGAGGGATATGCCTGCTACTACTGAGTTCAACAAATGTTCTGTACAACTCGAACGTGAAGTAGATTTAAAGCTAGATGCAATTGCAGAAGGTAGGGATACTTGTAAGACCGTCAGTGTAATTGATCAGCGTGTAGCCCACTTATCATCAGATGCTAGTTCTAAACCCAAACTAATAGTGAAGGACAGCAGTGGTGGTAGTCTTGCAATTAGACAATTTTCTGAAAGGCGAGCAACAACAGCTTCTGATGCACCGCTAAGTTCATCAACTGGTATCAATCAGTCGTCGTTGGTGTTGTCATCCACAATGAAACAGTCGCCCATCAACTCAAGTATCTTCTGCAATGACTATGATAGTATTGGTGCATTTGAAGGGAAGAAAGATATTGCTCAGTTTAGAGAGGATAAGCCAAGTGTAAACGAGAGAGTAATTGTTAAATTGACTTGCATGAATATAGGCATTTCTTGTTTCAAGTTACTATTTGAATGCTATTATCTTTGGTGTAAATTGCTCTGTGCCTACGCTTGGTTGACCAGATACATCGTATGTCTGTTAGTCATCTATATTCTACGACACAATGATATGGGCGTGTTGCCGTTCACATTTGAGGATATAGCTGATAGAAGGAAGTCATCAAATGAACTCTACGGCAATTTTCAAACCTCGGGCATCAACCTGAGAAGGGTTGTAGGCGTACTGCTGTAAGTCCTACAATTCTTCAAAGGGTAGCCCATCAATGAGCAGTCCAATGTGCTTGGTGTATGATCTTGTACATATGTTCATATTGCATATACTGAATTGATATCATCTGTCATCTAGCTGTTGGTAATTCTGTTTGTGTCCGGACGACTTCCACTTGGATCATCAACCTGAGAAGGAATGTAGGCGTACTGCTGTAAGTCCTACGGTTCTTCAAGGGTAGTTCGTCATGGCAGAATCCACAACATTTGATGTGTTGATTGTACATATATTTGTGTTAAATAATCGTGGGAGTTCCAATTGATGTAATTGTTGGTTAATCTTGTTTGTGTCCGGACATTCCATAACTTACAATCGTCAACCTGTGAGGGGTTGTAGGCGTACTGGTGTATGTCCTGATATTCTTCAAAGGAACTCCATCAAGACATGATCCGTGAGGTTATTTGTACTGTTTGTCTATACGTGTGGTGTGTCATATCAATTGGTTTTTGTTTTTGTATTCATTGTGTTTACTTGTTTTTTTCGTACCTTGTTGTTACTGCATAATTTTGTTAAAATTTTCGTCGTGATTACTTCTGAAGTTGTTTCGACTCTCCTACATACGTGAATGAATTGATTGATGTTAAAGACGGTGGCTGTGGCCCCATATGCCGGGGAGCGTGAATGTCGACGACTGAGGCTTGCATACATCACTGATACTAGAACTGAGGCAGAATGAGTGACGGGCGATTGCATTGGTAATTGGTAGTGGGTGCATAAGAGGATGTGTGGAGAGTATCGCGAGGTGCTGTTATGGTCACGTTGCGTTCTGTAAGAGTCATTCTAGTAAGTGGCGATTGTGTTGCAAGATGTAAGAGGAGGTCTCTGTCTGGACGCGCAGGTCGTCATTGATGTGTGAGATTGTGCTGTGGGTATGCCTGTGGTGTGTTGGCTTTTCTGTTTGTTTTCCATTTCAGCTCTGTCCGTGTGACCCAGGTTCTCGCAATGGCATACAAGTTAACGTGCATTGGTCGTGAAGGAAAAAAGGGTTGGATCCGTTTTTTGCCGGGGAGTGCCAATGTAGTTGAAGATTGAACGATCAATTCTTGGTTGTTTGCTCAAAATCAACTTCCCCAATTTTCGCGGAGGCATCAATACGACAGTCATCGTCTGATCGGTCGCTGTTCAGAAAGAAGAGTAAAAAACCGTCAGAATTAATATCGTGATTTATTTTGTAATATTTGTTCATAGACCTTAGTTTATTATGCTGCTCATATGTTGGTTTTAGAAAAAAGTATTCGCGAGTCGCCAATCGGTGTTTTGGTTTTTGTGTCCGTTAGTACTAAGCGTTTCTGAAAGGCTTCGAGGGATAGCGAGAGGCCCGGAGTAGCAAGAGCTAGGCATTAACGGTTTTTGAGACTTGATTGACGTATGAATTTATGTTCTATCGTCTCTCTGCAACAGGCGTGCTTTCCTTGTAAGCATATCTACTTATATGGACTATATATATATCTCTTATACGGAGAACTTGACGGTACACAAATTGGTTAGAACGATTCAGGCAAACCCGATAGGCACTTTGGATTATTCCTGCTTCTATTAGTAGCCATAATAAACAGACTCCTATCACTGTTTACTGGAATAATGCAACACTGTAGCAAGCGAGGATAACCTTCATGAAGCGAAGAGGTAAAATGGTGGCTCTAGCGGTCATTCCACTGCATGAGCACTATCGCTTTACCATCCGTGTTTGCTACTACATTACGGGTCGCTATAGTGTGGTTCATTTCCAGTTGTCTGTGTAGTTTACAGTGGGGGTATTACGGCCTAGTCACGTGATTGTGTACCCTCAAATTCTATTTATACTCTTTTCAATAAAAGGTTCTTGAACGCCTTCAAGTGCTATATTCTCCCTTCAATAGTTGGGCTGGTGTTAAAAACAGACTAGACACCAGGTCACCTAGTCCAGGCTAAAGAGATGGCTTTTAATGCGGCTTCAGAGCTGGTCTAGCGGTATCTATGGTCACAAAACAATCCCGAACGTTATTTCTTGTTGAAACCAACCGAAAATGTGCTTGAGGCCGTTTAAGAAGTGCTTCCCAATCCAGCCAAGAACTCCACAACAAATGGTGTCTTCACTCCAAACTGAATTGTTCAGGAAGGTAACTGACAGGTATAGACACTTAATCGAGGAGGACTGGCACCAAATCAAAGCCCTATTTTCATAATTGAAAGATTTGGAATGTGAACCTGAATAATTCTTTACTGAGGTACTTAGGTGCACTACATTAAACTTCTCATAACTCGGGGAGAACCTTGTTGCTCAGTCACTGTGGATATAATTTCGTCATCTCATTTTCAGGTTGTCGAAGTTTAGTCAAAATTTCGTATCGCATCTTTAAACCCTTCCTGACTCCCTTATATAGCCATAATAATACATGAAATTATTGATAGTCGGAGTGCTGGTGATATGCGAAGAATTTAGTACTACCATATCCAACAACTGTTGGAACTTAACATGTTCATTTATATCATAATATTCCTTGTTGATCAAAACACTATTTTCATTTTAATGAAGAAGTCCATATTTATTGTCCACATTTATTTAGTGTCCGGAGGACTCAGATAGGCTACAGGAAGACCTAAACCTTCTGGAAGACTGGGCAGTGGCCAGTGGCATGACTTTTAACTTGAAAAAGTGCAAAGTAGTGAAGTTGCGCACCTGTAGACTGCAGAATGCAAGTTACACCCTGTGCAATGAAAGCTTGTCCTGCACAACGCCGAAACGCGACTTAGGTCTAGTTCTAATGGAAAAAAATGGACACAAGAGTAAATTACACGGGGGATGTAGCTAGGGCATATGTGGTCATACACTAACACATAGACAGTTAGGTGTGCTCACTCCATGCTGAGAAGAGACGCCAACCGATTGGAAAGAGTCCAACGACGGTCAACAAAAGGAGTGGTTGGTCTCCGAAATAAACCATATGATGAAAGGCTGAAGAAATTAGGCCTGTTCGCACTTAGCTACCGTCGGCTTAGGGGGATTTGATTACTGCCTACAAAATAACACATGACCAGAATCACCCAAACAGAGGTGTTCTGCCATTGAGTAGGTATAGGCTCCCACGTGGAAATCCCAGAAGGATAGCTCACCAGAGGGCAAGGACCCGGGTGCGCTCCCACTTCTTTTCACTGCGAGTTTGCCGTCCCTGGAATTCCTTACCGCCAGATGTAGCTATGGCACCGTCTTTGGATGCCTTTAAGCGAAGGCTGGACAACCATGCAGCGATAAAAGGACTGCATCCAAATGGTCTATCTCCTTAAAATCGCATGCACCATTCAGGGGTAGACAATTAGACTCGTCGTTTTACTTCTTTACATTCTCTCCCGTCTCACTCTCCTGACAACTTATAATATTATAATTACTATTATTATTATTATTACCGATATACATATATTATTCTTCAAACTTAATGAGCTGACTGTTGTTACGCTTTCGTATTTCCGTTTCTGTCTCTTCGTCTGAATAACTTCACTAACTATATCTATTATTATTATTACTATTATTATTACTATCTCTTTTCTCTTGTCGACGATACCGAAGGACTAACTGGCGAGAGAATCAACTCCAATCACAGTAGTAACAGTCTTAACATACCTCATACTACAAACCACATATAATTAATCCCAGCACTACTCCCTTTGGAGTCAACCAAAGCTACGACAGTCGAGTGGTGGGACAAGCTACTCAGAAGATTACCGAAGATCAGGAACCTATACCTTACAACCAAGAAGCGAGCACAAAGAAATCAAATTGGTTTATGCTAGCTCGTAAAAACGCTACCGCGCGAACTTTGAAAAGGGAGTTAATTTTCACGCTCTTGTTTATAATTGGATTTTGTTGTGTTATACGCTTCAAAAGTCCACAGATTTAACTTTAAATCAGTTTATTCTGGTCGAAGTTAGTTTACGTTTCAGATCTGAGTCTATTAATTATAATAAGTGTTCTTATAACATAATAGCCACATATATCTATCCTTGTGCACTCATTAGCTTTTATCACTGATTTACAAAGGTTATATATATATATTTGAAGTTGTATTTAACTTTTCCTGGTTCGTTTTAAATAAAATGCCTATTAAAAGAAACCGCTGCGGAAGGGCTATGTGCCAGTTTCCAGTGGATGAGGGAATGCAGTGTGATAACTGCAAGAGATGGTTTCACAGTATGTGCACGAACCTTACTCCAGCAGCATACAAACGCTGCTGCAAACCTCTAGCGAACTGGTTATGCAATGACTGCTGTAGTACAACTAAACTCCGTATTACAGAGGCCATAGCTACTCTTAGTGGGGCTTTAAAGCTCATGGACTGCAAGCGTCCTCCACCACAGAAGAATACCGACTATTGCTCAGATAGCGATGACGTGGCTAGCGTCATTGACAAAACAGCACATGTCCCAGATGCGACCTTGCCAATAAGTGAGTGCTCTACAGCACAGAAGAACACCCACCATATCACAGACACCCAGGTCGCCCCCACGATACTGGATGAGCCCTCCAGTGACGGTAATGGAAAGACTGCCGTGAAGAAGAGGCGTACTAGGGGTCGAAAACCTGCAGCCCCAGTCGCCCAGGGACTGGCGGAACAAGCCTCATCCACACCGGTGAGCAGCAGACAGACGAACCCCACTAAGATTAGCGAGGAGGACGCCAATGAATGGCGCACCGTAGTCTCTCGCAAAAAGCGAGATAAGGATAACACTTCGGCCACACCGCCCAAGAAGGATAGAAACACACTTACGCCTCAGGGCAAGAAAGTAACGGAAAGCAAACCCGATCTCTCTGATAGGTCTCTCATTCTCCACAAAGTGGAGGAGTCACTGGCTCTCGACCCTAAGACCAGATTCGAGCATGACCTTAACTTGGTCAAGCCCCTTTTAGACAAGCTACTGCCACAAACAGTATCAGGCATTACTATACACAGCGTATACAGAATAGGTCAAAAGCCTGACCCTACAGTAAGTGAACCTGTACGTCTCCTCAAAGTCGTACTAAACTCTAAAGCGGAGAGGGACGCTATTCTAAGCAACTCTCATATTCTCAAAGGATCAGGGATATATGTCCGCGCTGACTTAAGCCTGGCAGATCGTGTCAAAAGACAGGCTGCGGCACTAGAATTAAGTGAGCGACGCCGGAACGGTGAAAAGAACCTTAAGATTAAGGGTTTTCGGGTTGTCCGAGTTCGCAGTTTAATGATCCCGAAACCTCTGTGGGTGGGCCGGGGAAGCACCAATCTGAATTAACAGTCTGCTACACAAACGCCCGCAGCCTGTTAAATAAAAGGACTGAGCTGGCAAACATGATAGAAACCGGAAACCCGGATGTAATTATTATCACAGAGACATGGCTCACACCCGATGTCACTGACAACGAAGTTAACCTGCCAAACTTCGAAGTGCACAGGGTAGACCGACTAAACCGCAAAGGAGGGGGCGTAGTCATCTACCTCAAGAAAGGCTTAACCGTGCGTAGTATCGAAGCACTCGCCCACGAAAGTGAGTCGTGCGAACTTCTACGCTGCAGACTTAAATGCATAGGCCAAGACATTGACCTCATTGCTGTGTACCGCAGTCCTGACTGCAGTGCAGACGACTTCCTAATAGAGAAGCTAGGCTCCTGGACTTCAAAATGTCGAAGTCTCGTAGTCGGTGACTTCAACGCCCCAACAGTTGACTGGTCGAGCCTAACAACTCCATCTTCAGTCAACTCCTTTGACCATAAACTGCTAGAATCTAGTATATCGCTAGCCCTAGTCCAACATATCATTAAGCCCACGCGCTATGACTCACAGCACTCCTCATCAACTCTGGACCTAGTGTTCTCACACGGTGAGGATGTGGATCTCATACAACATCTTCCTCCGTTAGGAAGAAGTGACCATGCTGTGCTCACTTTCAAGTTCACAGCAACGGCAGCAAGGGCCAAAACCCCAGCTCGACCAAACGTTTGGAAAGCTGACATAAATGCGATCGTCTCAGCAGCCAACTCAGTAAACTGGTACATCAATCCAGAGTCCCAAGTAGAAGCCGCATGGAACCAATTTAAGCAACTTTACGCCCAAGTAACTGTACCCTTCATCCCTTGGTCTGTTCCAAAGGGTCGGAAACATTCCCCCCCTTGGATAAACCGGGAGATTCGTAAGTTACTCAGACGTAAACGCAAATGTTGGAACCTGTTTGCAACACTTGAGACTTCTGAGACCAGGGAATTATATACTACTGCTAGAAATAAAGCTATCGCAGAAATCCGCCAATCAAGGATGAAGTTCGAGACACACCTGGCCCAAAATGCAAAGGCACAACCTAAGAAAATTTTCTCGTACTTGAATTTCAGGAATAAAACACCCAATGGTGTCCCAAACCTGATTATTGACAAAGATACAATCGAAGAAGATCAAGAAAAAGCAGAAGCAATGGCAAACTACTTCTCCCAAGTCTTCACTCAGGAGTCATCACTGCCTATAGGATCAGCTCTGGCTGCATCAGAAGAACATGGGATAGATTCCGTTGACATCGACCAAGGCATCGTGCTCAACTTCTTAATGAAACTAGATGCAGGAAAATCAATGGGTCCTGACAGTCTTCATCCAAGGCTTCTCAAGGAGCTATCAGCCCACATAGCCGGCCCCTTGACCACGATCTTCAAGCTATCTCTCCAAAATGGAGTGTTGCCACGTGATTGGAAAGACGCCATAGTAACTCCCATACACAAAGGAGGATCAAGACAAAGCCCTTCAAATTACAGGCCTATCAGTCTCACCAGCACTTTAATCAAGACACTGGAAAGAATTATCAAGAAAAGCATCATGGCTTATCTGGAAAATAGCAGCTTGTTATCTGGAGCACAGCATGGCTTCCGGAGGAACCTCTCATGCCTGTCAAATCTCCTGACTGCAAGAGAAAGCTGGGTTAAATCAAAGGATGACAGAAGACCCGTTGACGTCGTCTTCATAGACTTCAGTAAAGCCTTTGATAAAGTACCTCACAAAAGACTACTCATGAAATTGGAAAGTCTTGGTATCAAAGGCAGACTACTAGACTGGCTCAGGGAATTCCTCATAGATAGGAGGCAGAGGGTTAGGATCAACTCAAAACTCTCCTCCTGGACAGCAGTAAGTAGCGGAGTGCCACAAGGCACGGTTCTCGGTCCTCTCCTTTTTATTCTGTATATCAATGAGTTACCTCTGCTGACCGACTCCCCTATGGTCCTATACGCAGATGACTTAAAAATTTGGAGGGAGCTGAAGGGCAACAGTGATACGTCCACCTTGCAAGACGACCTCAACAAACTGTCGGAGTGGTCTGTTGAATGGATGCTCCCGATCAACGTGGCAAAATGTGCAACCATGCGCATTGGACAAGCAAGCACGAGCTCCTACGAACTAGAGGGAATAACACTTCCATCAGTTCAGACTCACTTGGACTTAGGTGTCATAGTTAGCCACGACTTAAAAACTACAGCACACTGTCGCGCGGTGGCTGCACGTAGTTTCAGGTCCTTATGGGCGATTCGCAGAGCCTTTACAAGAATTACCAGAGATATGTTCACCTCCTTATACACATCTCTGGTTAGGTCAAGACTGGAAAACTGCATCCAGGCCGCCAGTCCGTGTCTAAAAGGGGATTCACACATTCTAGAAAGTGTTCAAAGGAAGGCAACACGTATGGTTCACGGCATAGCTAACTTATCATATGAGGAAAGACTAGATAGTTTAAATCTCTTCTCACTGTCATACCGTAGGCAGAGAGGAGATTTAATCACAATGTTTAAAATTTTAAATAATGACTACGGACCTGACCTATTCTCTCTTTTCCTTCCCACCAGGTCGGAACACCTTAGAGGACATAGCAGGAGAGTTCAAAAGCCAAGGAGAAATCATATTGCTGTTGAGTACTGGTTCTCACATCGAGTCATAAACTCTTGGAACCGACTCCCAGAAGAAGTGGTGTCTGCAACCTCAATTGATTCGTTCAAGAAGGGTTTGGACAACCACAGAAATCTACTAGAAAAGGATTAACATAGGCTGCAAGCCTTCTATCCTCAAACAAAAAATCTGAAATCTGAATCTGTTTAAGTATCTTCATATTACAGACTTTGAGGTCAAGAATTTGATACTAAATTGAATTTCACATATGACCTTGATGACTATTTCCGATTATGGGAACAACAGATGATCGGTTTGTCGTCATTATAACTTATATTTCGATTAATTTTGATCAGTAGATTTTCGGACCGTGGATTTAGAAAACCCGAATTTGTGGAACTTGATGAGTATTCTGACTTTGTCCAAGCATATGAGTCAGTTTTGCAGCGGCGACTTATGCGTTGGGAGCAGTATTTTTCCGCCCTGCCATCAAAAAAGAGCTCCAAATGTTTGTTTTAAATTAATTTCTTCATTATTTTGCAGTGAAAAGATTTTGTCGTAAAGGAGTACCGGATCATATTAGATCGACAGTATGGATGCATCTTTCGGGAGCTCAGGAACGAATGGAAGCAAATCCAAATGCATATAGCATTGCAGTTACGCAGAAACCACCAAATAATATTATGAATGTAATCTTAGCAGGTTTGTTCACTGTATTTTGGTGTTTCGCTTGTGTTGCATTTAATATCTCAGTCATATTGATCAGTGACAATTGTAGTTTATGTTGTAAAGTGACAATTAACGTACATATATATATATACTTTACTTGGCAGTCTGTGGGCATAAAATATATGTGTGTTATTATTATGGCATTAAAAATTTTATTTTTGTTAATTACCCATTTTTCGAGCTATACATTGTCATCCTATATAGGCAAGCTGACACATGTTGTTTAATATCCGGATTAATCAGTTCAGAGTAAAAGCCTTAAAATCTGTGTTAATCCCTTTCTGATACCTTTTTGTGGTCCTCGAAACTAATTGGGTGGGTCATTAAAGGATGCTGACATCACGTTTAAAAAAATTCTATTATAGAATTTCACTGTGTTAGAATGTGTGATAGGATGTTTCACATATCAACTTATGATCTGATTATGAGCAGTAAATTGTGCTCAAAACAGAATCCAGTTGTCAATACTAAATCACTGTGTTATATGAAATAAACGTATCTAAAACTAAGCTTAAAGTAATTTGTGAACCCGGCTATTGTAACGCCCCGATGCTCGTGTTATGTACGCGAATAACGGCTTCTTCCTTACATCTCATAGCTGTTCTCTAAACTTATCTGGTCGTTAAAAAATTCTCCATGTGATTTTGCAGGGTTATTACACGTGTGTTTTATTTTTTTTATGAAAAATTTCGTGCATCTTCAATTGCTATCTCACCTTTTTCACTGGCATCCTATTTGTATTTAGATGTTGATTCAAAAGTCATCCCTCTTTAGATATTTTGGACATATATGTCTTGAATTTTTGGTCATCTCGTATATCCTGTGTTAGTTTTGTTTAATAAACTGTTGACTGTCGCACTTATTTCCATTTGAAATATGATTGATTTTTGAGTGTGAACTCATTGTATCATACTGTAACATAATTCGTCCAAAAGCTTGCTTTACGTATATTAACCTTCATTTCATATCAATAATATGATTCCGAACGATAAATTGTGCTCTAAACATCATCCAGTTATAAATACTGAATCACTGTCTGACATATCAGATGAGCGTATCTAATGTGAAGCTGGTTCGTGTGGCTGATTTTTTGTAAGCCAAACCATTTTAAATATGGTATGAAATTATTTTCAAGTCCAAATCAAATGTGAACAATTTATCACCAAAAAGAAGACCAAAATCAGCTCATCAAATTTTTGACTATTGGTGCAAACTATCTTGGATGATATTAGCTACAAAATCTAAGCACTAAGCCTAATTGATGTACATGAATGCCTGAATTACTTGACTGAATTTTAGACACCATATTTTCCCATTGTTTTTCTATTTCCTTGAATTTTTGTCACTGTTGCAAATTCGTTGATTTCAGAAATATCCCCAGGCGATTAACTTAAAGTGCAACAAGTTGAATCGGTTTTATATTGTTTAGCCATGTAAATCTATGTGTTTAAAACTCAAAATTCTTTTCAATCTCTGCATTATTCACTAGTGCATCACTGTGAAATGTTATAAAATAGAAAAAATTTCCATTTAGACATTTAGGAAACAAAGATTGAGCGAAGAAATATTTACTTTTTAATTAGATCTTCATCTCACTCTGACTCTACTCTAATTCATATATAGCATTTTTATTACAATACACAACAGTTTACCAATCAAGTGGCACTGATGTGTTTGTTAACAATAATTAGTTAGTGTCAAAATGTCAGTGGGTTGATAATTTAGATATGATAGAGATGATAAACGAAGAAAATCAATTCACACATTTAAAAGGTAGAAATGGTTAGAATAAATTAATTTAATTTTACAAAGATAACACGTAATCAGAGATGAAGTGGTCAGAAAAAATAAAATAGTTTGGACAATTATAATTTTTGTAATTTTAAAAACTGCAGTTCCTCGGTGACATCAGCGAAATAATAACACAGCGCTTGAAGAATGCAGTTAAAAAAGCTTATTATGCAACAGAGGTACATTGTCTCTTCACAACCACCCGTATTCTACGTTCGAGAAATAAGAATAAACTACCTAAATTTGCCTCTTCTGTGTGCATCAACCAGTTTGACTGCAGCTGCGGAGCCAGCTACATCGGGCGTACAATTAGACAGGTTCATCATCGTATTTCCGAACATCCCGCATGGTTAAGCAAGGGACAAACGAGTTCTATTCGTAGCTCTATTGTAGCACACCTTGTAGATAGCGAGCATAAGGTTGATGTTAATACAGCATTTAAAATTATTTATCGCATTACTACTAATCTTAATTTTGCTCTACGAGTTCGTCTTCTACAGACAGCTGAAGCAATAGGAATCCACCTGTGGAAGAAGCCAGACCTGTGTGTTCAGAAGAAATTTGTACAACCACTTTCGTTGCCTTGGCCATCGTTACACGAATGTATAAATTGGACTACTTCGTCCACCTCCGCCTAAACCTCTAAAAACTATAAAAATTATAATTGTTCAAGTTATTTTAGTTTTATTTATTTTGACCACTTCATCTTTAATTACGTGTTACCCTTGTAAAATTAATTTATTCTAACCATTTCTACCTTTTAATTGTGTGAATTGATTTTCTTCGTTAATTATCAACCCACTGACATTTTGACACTTTAATTATTGTTAACAAACATATCAGTGCCACTTGATTGGTAAACTGTTGTGTATTGTAATAAAAATGCTATATATGAATTAGAGTAGAGCCAGAGTGAGATGAAGATCTAATTAAAAAGTAAATATTTCTTCGCTCAATCTTTCTGTTTTCTAAGTATTATAATTTCATAAAATCATCCTCAAAATGTAGGAAAGCGTATTTCATCATTAATCTAGTGGAATGGATTAAGATTATGTCTTACTCCCAATATTTTACCGATAACATTAAACATTCCACTGCTAAAACTACGTTTCGCTGAACAAAAGATTTAATTCATCAGTCACTTGCTACGAATAATTTCTAAAGTTGGGAATCAAATCCTACTGATTGCTTATTCAAATCTTCATAATACTCGGCTGTCTACCATCACCTTTAGCTGACTCCACCTCTGTCGTAAGCTTTCATTTCCTCCACGCATGATCTCCATGTCACCCTCGTATCTATATCCAACGCATCATTTCCCATTTAGATTCCACTCAGGGACCTGACTGGCATCTGATATCACATGGATATCTCCTCAGCCGACTTCCATTTCCTTCTGAGTACTTGTCAGCCAACAGTTTCTTGCCTAAATCACTGCCAGAGTTCCTTGTTACTCGCTTATTGTTCCTGACCACCTCATGTTCACTATCGGGTGAAGGTGGTTGTTGATGAAGGTTTTTGAAATACTTATGGTAACGTGTCCATAAAGTGTCTGAACCATAAAAAGTACTGAATTAACATTAGTGTTAACGATTCAGATCTTGCCGCTTGCACTAATTTCAGACTGACCAAAATTTTGTTATGATTTCCCCGATACAGTCTTTGACATCCTTTTTCTTGCAACCTACAGTTGAAGCGACACCAACGAAGTAAGTGGAAGATGCCCCTTTCTTTACATATTACTCTCTTTGATAGTAATCAAAGTTTGTTATTGGTTCACCGGAAGTTCTGTCTTCACCTGTCTTACTTATCACTCCCCATAGTGTTCCGTATCTTTCAGTTCACCATAAACAGAGAAATCACAGTTCAGTGTATAGTCTGTAGGAAGCCCACAATACAAATCGGTTACCTTTATTATGTAATAATTTAATAGTTATTGTTTTTCGGTTTTCCCCTGTACTTTTTCAGATGTTCCACGAACATTTCCGGAGAATATTCATTTCCAAGATACTGATGGTCCAAACAGTAAACTAGTATCATTGGAAAGGGTTTTGTCAGCTTTTGCAGTCCACTTTCCTAATATTGGTTATTGTCAGGTAGGTCACATACTTCATAAAATATCCTAAATTTAATTAGTTCAAACGTTTTCTCCCTTCACATTCCCAGTGGAACATATAGCTTCAAGTTAGTGGCTTGAAGTTTCTGTAGCAGTGTTTATTTTTACAGGATGGGGTTGCTAGACTCACGCCCAACCTTTCTTCTTTAGCAGTATTATATCTGGTTTAGCGAGGTAAAGGAGTGCGTCTGTGGCCGGGAATCGAACCCTGGACCATGGGGATGGTCGGCTAGAGTCCTAACCACTGTGCCACCAACGCCCGACCGAAAGCTGCTACCTTGACGTGGTGGTCGGGCTTGAACACCGCAATGACCTAATCAAGCTATACTGGCTGAGACTTATGTCTCTTGAGGTTCTACCATGCCAGGCAGGTTGTTTGGATAGCGGTTAAACAAAAAGCAGCTACCTCATCCAATACCATGATCCAAACAAATTCACAAAATTTCATGCCGGATCGGCCGTGGCCCGGATTAACAACGACCGCGCTTCCTGCTGCCGTGTCACAGGGCGGGAGTGATAAGTATGCTACTGAGGCACACCAAACAAAAGAGAACAAACAAAAACAGGCCGCGTGTGACCGGCCTCAAGCAGTTGTCCCCTGGGCTCTGCGGTCACGCAACCAACTTCCACGGTGTGGGCAGCCGGGAAGTAACAATCGCCCTCACAATCCGAAATGCACACAAAACCTCTCTAATCCTCACTTATCTTTGTCTTCATCTTCATCTCTATTACCTTACCTTCCCCCCAGTGATGCAACTCCTCTACTTGATGGCTCCTCACTCCCTCTTCACTCTGTGTCCACTAAAAACGACGAAAGCCAAAAAACCACCACGGATAGTCTCCTAAAGCCACGCCACCAATTTCATATAGGAGCATTTAATGTAAGGACACTTTGCCAAATAGGACAACAAGCATCACTAGCTAAGACCCTGGCATCTCGAGCCATTGATGTATGTTGTGTTTCAGAAACACGCATACAAGACCCAAGTGTGGTTATTCACCTAACCCCACCTGGCCAACAGGATGAATCTTCAAAATTCACCTTGAGGGTGTCAGGAGATGCCACAGCTAGTTCACGAGGATTAGCTGGCGTAGGGATAGCTCTGAGTACTAGGGCAGAAAAGACATTGCTTGACTGGATCCCAGTAGATAGCCGAATGTGTGCTGTCCGTCTGAACGGATCAGTAAGAAGGAGAAAGGACTGCACTACTCGCCGATGCCTTTTCGTAATCTCCGCCTACGCCCCCACTGACTGCAGTTCGGATGAAACGAAGGATGAGTTCTACCAAAAGCTGTCTAGTTTGGTGAGAAAGGCTAAACGCTCAGATATAGTCGTTCTAGCTGGTGACTTCAACGCTCAAGTAGGGAAATTGTGTCAATCTGAGAAGGATGTCGGTGGCACCTATGGAGTTCCGTGCCAGCGAACCGACAACGGTGACCGTCTCCTACAGTTCTGTTCAGATAATCATTTGTTTCTTGTAAGCACTAACTTTAAACACAAGGAGAGACACTGTTTAACCTGGCGACCCCCATCATCAAACCAACGCTGGACACAAATAGACCACATAGCAATAAGCTATCGTTGGCGTGGGTCGGTAGGAGATTGTCGCTCCTTCTGGAACACGTGTGTAGATACCGATCACGCACTGGTCCGGGCTCGTGTGTGCTTACGACTGAACGGACGTAGGAAACAGCTGGCGGTAAAACCATTACGCCCCCAGCTCGATCAGGAAACTAAATCCCTATTTGAGGAAGAACTAGCTAAACGCATATCTGAATCCGACAGCTGTGCTCACCCTGGAGAAGCCTGGAAGAATATTCAGTCAGCTATAGATACAGCTGTAAAAGCTGTGAATAAGACAAATCCAAAGGTGAGTAAAAACCACTGGATTTCGACTGCCTCATCCGAACTGATAGATGCTAGAAGACTTATTCCGGCGAGCTCCGAATTCAATGAGGAGCGAAAGCTGCACAAAAGGAAACTTACTAAAAGTCTCCGCAAGGACCGTGAACAGTGGTGGGTGACAAAGGCGAAAGAGATGGAAAAAGCATTGGCGATAGGCAACACTAGGCAACTCTTTAGACTCATCACAGAATCGGGCGGGAAAAGGCAATTCATAAGTGAGACTATTTCTGAGAAAAATGGCTCCTTAATTAGCTCTCAGGATAGACGCCTTGAACGCTGGAAAGAACACTTTGAGGAACAATTTAACTTGCCTACAGCCACACTGAACCTCCCCGCCATCCACCACGTACCCGAATGGGATATAGACACTGGTCCGCCGTCTGTAGGTGAGGTTACAAAAGCTATCAGTAATTTGAAACGAGGCAAAGCGGCAGGACCCGACGGAATTATTCCGGAGGTGTTTAAATATGGGGGTGACATACTAGTTTGTAGATTAACTGAGGTACTAGGCAAAGTCTGGGAATCAGAGACAGTACCATCAGACTGGGGTAAGTCACTCATTATACCGATATTCAAGAAGGGAAACAAGTCCTCGTGTGATAATCATAGGGGGATCAGCCTAACGAACATAGTCTCTAAAATCCTAGGCTCAGTAATCATGCATAGACTAAGCAGAACTCGGGAGGAACAGACAAGGGAAAATCAAGCAGGCTTTAGACCAGGTAGAGGGTGCATAGATCATATCTTCACTCTTCGACAGATTCTAGAACATAGACACACTTTTCGGCGTCCAACAATTGTCATATTTCTTGACTTGAAGGCGGCCTTCGACTCCGTGGACCGAAAAGTACTATGGCAATGTCTGACTGTGAAGGGAGTGCCAAGAAAGTACATTGCACTAATCAAGGCACTCTATTCAAACTCACGTAGTCGTGTAAGGGCTTATGGGGAATTGTCATCTGAATTAGTAACAACCAGTGGTGTCCGACAGGGATGTCCACTTTCCCCATTTCTGTTTAACTTCATCATAGATATGCTAATGGAAGTATCCTTAACTGAACGTAGTGACTTAGGAATCGACTTGTTACCAGGGAATAATCTAATGGACTTAGAATATGCAGATGACATAGTCCTGTTAGGGGAGGATGCTGACAAAATGCAGAGTCTTCTGAACACCTTGAGCAGCAATCTTCGTATGTTTGGCATGCGATTCGCCCCTGCAAAATGTAAGATGCTGCTACAGGACTGGACGACGTCAACCCCTAACTTAGTGATAGGGAGTGAAGTGATAGAACATGTTGACCACTTCACCTACTTGGGAAGTTGTATTAGCACCAACGGACTGATTGGCGATGAAATCTCAGCACGGATCCGAAAAGCTCGAGCTGCTTTCGCTGACTTACACCATCTCTGGCGTAGGCGTGACATCCGGTTATCAACCAAGGGACGTGTGTACTGCTCATCAGTTCGCTCCGTCCTTCTCTATGGCTCTGAAACATGGCCAATACGCGTTGAAGACATGAAAAGGTTGACTGCTTTCGATCATAGATGTCTGCGATCTCTGTCTCACGTTAGGTGGTTTCACAAGATAAGTAATGTTGACGTTAGGCGTAGAGTGTTGGGCAAAGAGGGAAAATCAATCGACGAGGCTATAAAGTTACATAGACTAAGATGGCTAGGTCACGTGGTGCGCATGCCTAACCACCGCCTCCCCCGACGGGCATTGTTAGCTGATATAGGTTCAGGTTGGAAAAGAGCCAGTGGTGGCCAAACAAAAACATGGCATCAATCCATGAAATCCTTGACAGTTAAACTGAGTCAGGTAGGGAGATGCAGACTCCCGGGTTGGGGCCCTCGGGACTCTAGGAATCAATGGCTGGAGACAATAGGTGACATGGCTCAAAATCGTTGTCAATGGCGCAGATGTATTCAATCTCTGTAATCTTTCATATTCCTTTCTACCATTACCCATTCTGTTTCACTCTTATACTTGTCAAACTCTATTGATTCTCTCCACTCATCTTCTTGTCTACCTCTGTGTGCTATTTGGAACGTGGCAACTCGAACTGCTGCACTTCGGTGCCAAGTTCTATGTTGAATCCAGACAGACAGACAGCAATTCAAAAATATCGCTAAATGTAACAATATGTCTACTTTGATTGGACACTGACTAGTGTCATGTTTACTGCAGATTCAATTTTATCCGTCAATTTTGCTAGGTTGCTTGCCATCACGGTGCACTCTGAGTTGTTGTTGTTAAATGGTTGGAGGCCATCTACAGAAAGCCTTGCTCGACCTGGGTTTCGTGCTTGCTGTTCTCTCACCAGTCAGTCAGCAAGGCTAATCTGCAATCTTGAAGGAACTCATATCCCTTATGAGATTCGAACCCGCGTCACCCAGTGAATGCGTCGGTGGCACAGTGGTTAGGACTCTCGCCTACCATGCATATGGTCCGGGGTTCGTTCGATCCTCTGCCGACGCATACCTGATATCTATGGTCGGCCTGCAAAATTTGGGCTACCGATATCCCACGCTGAAAATTCCATACCTGTACAAAAAATACGGTGTGGAATCAAGCTGTAATCAAAAAAATGTAAAAATACTGCAATCAGAGACGTTGCCACCGAGCTATCGTGGCTCACGATTGACCTCCTGTGGGACTGTATTGGATACTTGTGTCATGTACCTAGTCCTTTGTATACTGCAGACTGAATTCTATCAGTCAGATGATATAAAATCTCTGATTGCAGCACTGGCTGACACGGGGTTGAACTTCAGAAGGGGCATGAGTTCTTTCAAGATTGCAAATTCGCCTAGCTGGCCGGTGAGTGTCAATAAGTACGAAACTTAGGTTAACACAGGGCTCCCTGCCGATTGCCTCCAACCATCTGATAGCAGTATGTATATTTTTTAGTTATGATTCCATATATTCATCTATCAACTGACTGATTGACTCACCAACTCACACACACATGTTGTTTAGTTCTCTTAGTGGCTAGTTCAGTTTTCAGTGGTTTCGTTAGGAATAAAATGAACGTGTTATTCGGTGTGATTTCTTAAAAGAAATACTTTTG